AACAAAAGAATGAAGGGGGCGTGGGAGCGTGGCGGTGAGGTGTAGGAAGCTGTAAGCCCCAGGCTACTTTAGGCTCACCTTCCTATCAACCAGAGGCGAGGAGTGGATGGTCGTGGTTACTTATGCCCCCACTGCAGACCAACATCCGTGGAGGGATGCAGGCAAGGCCGATGAGTCAGATGCCTTCAATGACCTCGTGTCACAGGTGCTAGCTAAAGTGGCCCCTCAGGATAGAGTCATCTTGTTGGGTGACTTCAATGCCCGAGCTGGTCATGATGCTGGTACCTGGTCTGGAGTGATTGGAAGGCATGGGCCAGATCAGCTCAATAACAACGGCAGGAGGCTGCTAGATTTTTGTGCAGCCCATGGGCTTGTAATTACCAACACGCTGTTCCGGCGCGTCCATACAACATCATGGATGCATGCCGGGTCCAAGCAAGAACATTTGCTGGACTACATTGTGACGGAACAGAGAATGCGGGCCCATGTCCACCAGGACCTACTGTGGAGCTGATCTGCCCACTGACCATCGACTTGTCATCTGTAAGATGCGCCTGCTATTCTTCCACTCCAGTGGTGGGTGTACACCCAGGACCCCATTTAAACCCTTAGTGGCATGGTCTCAGCTAGCTGATGGAAGTTGCAAGCGAGAATTTAATCATCGCTTGCAGCTGGGGTTGGCATCATCCCCCACTCCTCCTGATGTCGAGGGAAAATGGGCGAGGTTTAGGACTGTGGCTCATGCAGCTGCAATGGCTGCTTTGGGTACACGGTCCAGACCTCCCCAGAGACCCTGACTGACAGAGGAGGTGTTCAAGCTGGCTGAGAAAAAGCGACAGGTCCACTCTCATCATTCTCCAACATCCCACGTCGGAGAATGAGGAGGCTTACCGCAGCCTTTGCTCGGAGGTCCAGAGAGCCGTGAGGCGCAGCAAGGATGGCTGGTGGTCGTGGGTTGCTGAGGAGATGGAGTCTGCCTCAATGGCCCGCAATCACAAATCGTTCTTTAATTCCATCAAAAAAGTAACCTGCAGCGCCATACCTATTACCATCATTAGGGGAAAGAACGGTGATACAATCTCTGACCCCCAGGAACAGGTTTGCAGATTTGCTGAGCATTTCTGTGAGGTCCTGGGGGAGGGGACATCCCTCAGCCTGAATAACAACGTGGGACAAAGTGGGGATGACCCTGCCGAGGCTGCGGTACCTCAAATATTGGAAGAAATTACCCCCTGTGAGTGGCTGGCTGAGGTGCCATCTGTTGAGGAAGTACTGAAGGTGATCCAGAATCTGAGACCAGGAAAGGCACCGGGCAGAGATGATCTCCCAAGCGAAATGCTGAGGGAGCGTGGCGTTTGTGAACAGACTGCCCTATATGACATCATAACAACAGTCTGGACCACTGGACGGGTTCCGCAGGACTGGAAGGATGTCCTGGTGGTCCCCCTCTTTAAGAAGAGGGACTGCACAGAGTGCAACAACTACAGGGGCATCTCACTCCTCAGTGTGCCGGGAAAGGTCCTGGCAAGGATTATTCAACATCGCCTTGCTAGGCACGCTGAGGAGAGGCTTGCGGTGCCCCAAAATGGTTTCAGGAAAGGGCGGTCCTTCACAGATGCCATATTTTTTGTCCGTCTGCTACAGCAGAGGTGTAGGGAATTACAACAAAACCTACATCTCTGCTTTATTGACCTGGTCAAGGCCTATAATACCATCAGTAGGTCTGTGCTCTGGGTTGTTCTTCGTGCTTTCAGAGTCCCTGACCCTCTGCTCACGATCATTAAGGACCTTCATGATGGTGAGCGGGCCCGGGGTAAACTACGTGGCCGGGAGTCGGAGCCATTCTCTGAACACCTTGGGGTGCGACAGGGATGTCCTATGGCTCCCACATTATTTAACATCTATTTCGACAACGTAGTTTGTGAAGCCTTCAATAGCTCTACCAGAGGAATTTTCATCTGGTACAGATACAATGGGAGGCTGATCGATGCCCGGGTGCGGTCAAGGGATGGCTCCCTATTGCTCAACCACATTATGTATGCCGATGATCTGGTAATTGCTGCTCACTTAGAGGAGGAGTTGGAGGCGCTGCTGCTGAACCTGGAGCTTGCCACTAAGAGACGAGGCCTTACCATCAACCCCACCAAAACTAAGCACCTGCATGGGTATTTTGTACTATTGGACACTCCACCCCCACAACTCCCAATTGGTGATAGGGCAGTTGTGGAGAGAGTGGAGAGTTTCCCATACCTGGGCAGTGTGCTCATGACCGGCTCCGGTTTAATAGCAGAGGTCTCACTCCGAATCAGTCGAGCAGCATTATCTTTTCATCAGTTGTGTAACGCTATGTGGATGCTACCTGGTCTGTCGCTCCGCACAAAGCTTCAGGTCTTCTCAGCCACAGTCATTCCCTCCCTTCTCTACTCTTGCGAAACGTGGACCCACCTACTGGAACATCTTCGCCGGTTGGAAATATTTAGGCTAGCCTGCCTACGATCCATCCTGGGTTTAACCAGGCTGGATTGTCTGAGGAGCTCACGAATCCTTGAAAGATCAGGACAAAGTCCCATCGGTGAGCTCCTCCGGCAGGCAAGGCTGCATTGGCTGGGCCATGTAGCCCACATGCCCAGTCCCCGCATGCCTAAACAGCTTTTGTTCGGCTGGATCGAGGGGGCTAAACGGGAGCGGCACGGGCTAGAGAAGAGATGGAGTGATGTGGTACAGGATGTGGAGCTGAGTGGACTTGCCGGTGACTGGTACCAGCGGTGTAAAGATCGGCCTCTGTGGAGGAGGCTCGTGAAGGACGCTACTGGGCAGTTGGAGGCAGTCGCCCTCCAACAACAACGGAGGGCGGAGGAGCGGCGCTCACAACAATGAGCGGAGCGCCGGGTGGCTAAAGCACAGCAAGTTGGTACAGTTGGGGGCACAGGTGGTGTCTCAGCCAGTCGTCTCATTCAGTCGACCTGTGGCATCTCGGTCTGCCCCGTTACCTCCTGCCAGCGGGCATTTGACACATCATGTGGCCTCGGGGTGCACATAGCCTGGCACAAGCGTCGTGGTGAAGTCACCGCCACTTAGTGGCGAATGGCGGTTGTTGTTGCTGTTGTGTATGTGTGCGGGACTGGTAGTGTAGTAATTAGCACACTGTGTTCCGAACTGATTCCCACTCAAAACCAACATCGGTGACCAATAAGTTAACTGGTTCTAGGCCTTCCCGAGGTCAACTTAGCCTTAAATGAGTACTTGGTGCAGTGTGTAAACATCAGCATTGGAGAGACAAAGGCGGCCGGGCATAGTGTACGTGTGCATTCACGTGCGTGCCTGCGCTCGCGTTCATTCTCGCTGGTGCATGTGCATGTGTGTATTCACGTACATGCGCTGATGCATGTGTATGTGTGTGTTCAAGTTACCATAGCAAAACCCTTGGCACATTTGCTTTCTGGGAAGGCGAGACAAATAGCATCACACTGACCTCTCTCTCCAAGTAAGTTTTTTTTTCCTTTGGCCAAATGAGAGCACTAGCTTCTGAAAATGCAACATCAATTGGCTTTCACTCTTTTTTTGAAAGTGTTGACTGTTGAAAGATCCCATGTGCAGAACGCTTTTTTTTTGACGGCCTGAACCCCACTTGCCAGAGGATATTAGCGCATTCGTGCACACTGAGACACTGTCCTGAAGCCCTGGGGCAGGATTGGCACCAACTCACCCATGACTCCGGGCAGCCTATTCAGCGAAAAGGTAAGGGAAAGTGGAAATTGCTGGACGAGAGGATGCAGGGTCACGGTCTTGTGCACACTGACGTGATGCACTGGGGCCCCGGCATGACGCAGCCATCACCCCGAAAAACAATCGTCTAAATATTTTCTTAAGCAACGACCCATGAAATAATAACGAGGGCAATTCGGTGAACTCGGACTGCGGTCCTATAAAAGGGGTGATAACCATCCATTCTCGCTCTTTCGGATCAGATAAAGAGCCAGTTCTGCTAAATAAAAAATAATAATGCAATAATGGCCCTGTACTTATCCAGGAAAGCCTCCCCTGAGTCTCAAGACTCTTTCGTTCAGGATGTTTGGCCAATGTCATTTCCAAGTCGTTTGGCTTCATGTGGGAGAAAAACTGGACAGTCGAGAGAAAACCTATACACACGAGAGGAAAAGGCACTCAAAAGCTTGCGCAGATAGACGCAAGAATCCATTACTGTACTGCCAGCTCAAGCCAATCACATTTGATAATCCAGATACTACACAGGCTCAACCTTGCTTGGCCTCTGAGTGCTAAACAGACTGGCACTGCTCAGATGTGCCAGTGGAAAAGGGGTATTAGGCATGACTCACCAGGCACGTGTAGGTTTATGAATGGGTGGAGTAACCCTGCAAGTGCTTTGTGAGCAGTGGCTAGGGGTACCGGGCACGTGTAAGTTTATGAATGGGTGGAGTAACCCTGCAAGTGTTTTGTGAGCAGTGGCTAGGCGTACCGGGCACGTGTAAGTTTATGAATGGGTGGAGTAACCCTGCAAGTGTTTTGTGAGCAGTGGCTAGGGGTACCGGGCATGTGTAGGTTTATGAATGGGTGGAGTAACCCTGCAAGTGCTTTGTGAGCAGTGGCTAGGGGTACCGGGCATGTGTAGGTTTATGAATGGGTGGAGTAACCCTGCAAGTGCTTTGTGAGCAGTGGCTAGGGGTACCGGGCACGTGTAGGTTTATGAATGGGTGGAGTAACCCTGCAAGTGTTTTGTGAGCAGTGGCTAGGGGTACCGGGCACGTGTAAGTTTATGAATGGGTGGAGTAACCCTGCAAGTGTTTTGTGAGCAGTGGCTAGGGGTACCGGGCACGTGTAAGTTTATGAATGGGTGGAGTAACCCTGCAAGTGTTTTGTGAGCAGTGGCTAGGGGTACCGGGCACGTGTAAGTTTATGAATGGGTGGAGTAACCCTGCAAGTGCGTTGTGAGCAGTGCCTGAGTGCACAAAGCGCATGCAGGTAGCGAACGGCACAATTACCTTGGCAGGAACGTTCGTCCGTCAGGAGCTTGTAGCCCTTCTGGCAGCTGCACTCGAAGCTGCCCACCGTGTTCCGGCAGACGTGGTCACAGCCACCGTTGCCCAGCTGACATTCATCAATGTCTGTGTGGCGAAACAGCACCGTGGTGAAAATCAATACCCATAAGTGTAAAAATAAATCAAATGAATCACTTTGCATTTGGAGCACCCCGCGTGATATATTTTTTAAGGCGTACGTCATCTTCTGGTGCTTTTCATAAAATGCAATACGGTAATGTAATGCGGTACGCGTGTTAAAGCTCATTATTATATACCTGTCTACCTGGCACTCGTCTGTGTAAATGATTTAATCCAGCGTAGCCATCAGCTGCATTCAAGTGCTTGCACAACCGCGAGAGACATAGCGGACGTTAATTGACATAAAAATGCAGCTGATTACATCTGCCGCTGTGCACAGCAGCAGTGCGACAAACTTAAGGCTCAGCACCTGGGTCCGTAATACACTCACAGTCGGGTGCATCAATCTTGCAGCTGAAATATATGGATGGGACCAGAGAGCACTCTGGCATTCAGTGATGAGAATAGAGGGACAGGACAGCATGGCCACTGATTGACGAGGCCTTTATCTGGCACTCGACCGACAAGCCCTTCATTAGAATTTTCAACTCTGACCTCGAATGCGTATTTAAAGCTCCTCACAGCTGTGTACGTATTGCGGGGGCAGTAACCGGTGGTAGGCGTTGCCTGAATTCTGACGGCTCTGGCGTCGTACTCCACAAGAGGTGAATTAATTGTGTTCACCGATGAGGCGGATTACTATTTATGTCAGTTTTAAAGCACGGGACTTTTGGATATTCTGAACTCGAGGTTAACCCTGCCCTGTGAGTGAAACACATGAACCTCCAGGCCGTACATTTTGTGGCCGGAATTAAAAAAAAAATGGGATTCGAGATTATTTGTCATCAGTATTGACTGCACTATATTTGTGCCATAATTGTGATTTAAAGCGATCAATCACAATTCACTTTCTTCCCTAAAATATATATTTTAAAAAACATGATAAATAAGCCATTCGTGGTGAAAGTTAATGTGCACATATATTCACGCGACGAAAATCACGACACACTCGACATTGTCAAGAGTGGCATTGCAGCACGAACAAGTTTCAGTTACAAAAGTGTGGTACAGATAAACAATGCGTAATGTGCCGCTCCTTGTTCTGGTGTTGAAAAATAACTACGAAGCCACTAAGAGGAACATTTCTGCTGAACGCTGCTGTTACTTTGAGTTTGCTGAGCTGTTTTTTTTTTTTTGACTCGCCAGCACTGCCGCATGACAAAGTTGACTGCTTTGCGAAAATGTTAGCAGTATCGTTAGAGCAGATGTTCCGCTCATGCAACCCTTTGTCAAACAACACTGATAACTAAAACATTAAGTCACAGCCATCAAAGGATATTTTATATGAATTTCATGTAAACTTTGCTTGCAGACTACCAAAAAGCCGGTGGAAATGCGTGGCATGTGCGACTTTGAGGTCGGCCAAAACGGTCGTTAAAACGAGTGCACGACACAAAATTTGTGACGATCAAAAAGATGCAATCGTTATAAATATCGTTGTGAAGTTGCGCAAGACAAAGCACATTTTGTCGATTGTAAAAAAAAAATTGATGAAATTTCGTGAAGCCAGGCGTTCGTTTCTTTGGATTTCACTCTCGCTCGTCCTTGGTTATTACACACTAAGGTCAGAGGAGATAAAATCATGAGCAGCCGGCTGAATAGGAAAGAAAACACAAGTCCCGTCAATCATGATTGATGAAAATTTCCTTAAAGGGAACATAGGAGAGATGTAATCTGCTGGGCCTTCTGTGAGTGATCACCGGAGCGTGGAAAGGCACAAGCCAAACACAACGAGAGAAATCGCTGCTGATTGTTGCTGTTAACCCTTTCACATACAATCTGCCCTCACCCCGTGGGGTTTGCCTGGTGGTCACACAGAGGGCCTTGCCCCTGTGCTTCCGACAGCAGGTCAGCAAATTGCTATAGCCATTTGTCAAATTCGTGAAATTTGTTTTATGGCCATGATGCTAACCAAAACCCACAGCGATAACCCTGTGTCATACACCAAATGAGAGCGCTTAAGCCCCTGTGTTTAATTCTCTAAAAAGAAAACGTGATGGCCTTTGAGAATTGAGTACTGAGAGATACAACGTACGTGTATTTCGGGTTTGGTTATGGAATATGTTTAAAGCACAAGCGACAACTGCTTCCCTTGGACACTGCGAAAAAAAATTGTTTGGACAATAATAGGCATACCACACTTAATTAGATTTTAACCGAGCTGGTTTTAAATGCATTATTGCGCTTGCACGGCGGCTATAAAATGACGAGAAATTAAATAGCGCTAATTGTTTTCAAAATGTGGTTTTATTAATTCAGTTTCTTATCCCCATCCAAATTATTCATAGACATTGGCAAAGGGGTGCATCATGAGCCGTGCCTAATCCACGTATAAATGCACATAAAATAGACATGGTTGGCTGACTCAGTCAGCTTGGACCAGAAAAGAGGGAGTCACAAGGCCATGGTATTGATTCACATTGATTTAACAGAACTTACACACGAAGGAAGAGAAGCTGACATGGTGTAATGGTTCGCACTCCAGACTTGCAATCCAGAGGTCAGCAGTTCAACTTAATCTCCTGACACTGCAGTTGAAACGATGGGGCAGGTCTCTTAATCCCCCCTCCCCCCCACACCTGTGTCCACTCAGCAGAGTAAATGGGTGCACCGCAGTGAGTCCATCGGTGGGATTTGGTGCTGCCCACATCTACCACGACATTGTGTCCAGCACGGTAAATAAATTAAAATAATCTCAGGAGGTCCTTTCAAGAACTCCCTTTAGCGGAGGCCCTTCCACCAGCAATGGTGTGAGCGAGCAATAGCATAGCTGCACCTTTACTTAGACACAGTGGCACTTTAATAAATAAAATACCATTATGAAGGCGAGGGTTTAGTCACCCTTGTATCCAGTTATTTTTTGCAATGGTTATTCACTACATTCCACTGCCAGGCCACAACCACATTCCAGGATATGGTGGTGGTTAAACATTTTTTCTGGAATAATTCAAATCTTGAGTCAAAACGAAATGAGTCACCTCCGCGAAGCTCATAAACAGACACAGTTGTTATGATGGCGAAAAATAAGGAAAGTGGCAACTTAATAAAAAAATAATCATACTTTTTTTTTTTTAACCCTCTCCGACATTAAAAGTTGGTGCGAGCCAAAGCATTGCTCACACGTGTCCCGCGAAACCCACTTCACAAACAGCACTATCGTTGAACGTCCGTGGCATGATTAATACTTCCTTCGCAGTGTTCTGGCAAAGGCAAAAAAAACCCACCTCCCCCCCCCCGCTGCTACGAGTAGTGGCAGCAGCGGCGGTGGTGGTTTGGCACCGTGACGGTCGTGTGCCAGCCTCCCGCCCCGGCACAGAAACAAAAAAGCAAAGAGTGTCAGAGGAAGAAAAAAAAAACCACGACCACATCCCCGTTGCTCTCGGTGGGGACGGGCGGGCGGTGAGAAATAGTGCAAAAAGTGACACGCTACAAAGTGGGGTGCGTGCCAAATTATGTCAGCCTACAAATCACAGGCCTTCCTTTATATACCCCCTGTTTTCACTCCAGCCGTCACTTAAGTTTTATGCTCGATCCAAAGCAAACATGGCCACGCACACATCTTTAGTCAGACGTGACCGCTCATGATTATTGAATGCCGTACATTGACTGTCGCGGGCGAACGGCTCGCTACCATTCGTATGAAGAGTATCCCGTTTATGAGTTTGTTTTTTGTGAGTCTATCATCTTGCCTGCGTCTAGTGTCTATAGAAGTTCTCATTGTGTGCTAGCATGTGAACGGAGTTAATTGTGGCACATAAAAACCTTTTAAACTGGCAAGGCTCGTGAACGCTTGTAAAGTGCGGTGGAGTTTAAATTAAAATGAAATTTAAAAATATCGTAATGTATGTTTAAAAGCTCCACTTCAAAGCGAACATCTTACATGCCAGAGGCAGTTTGATTTCTTTGTGATCTAGTGATTAAACGGATGAAAAAAAAAGACTTTGTAAAAAAATTGTAAAAGTCTCTGGTATTCCTGCGTTGCAATAACTTTACAATTGAACCGTCCTTTACATTAACAGCTTGTCCATGAAAGCGGAGAGAGAGTTTGAGCTTCAGGGGCGCGCGTTTCATTCGCTTTATAGGAGTCGTTCTGCTTTGAACGAGTTTCCGCCGCGCGATACACGTGACGTTATGGACTGTGACACGCTTTTTATTCAACGCGCTAATCGAGCCACAGTGAGAAAACACAACGCTTCTTTGATTCGCCTCCACCGCCACCGCCCTCCCCTCTGAAAGGGCCCTTCCTCCCACAACACAGGTGCATAATCACCGGAGGGAAAATCCCTCGTTTAGCCTTTCCATCCAGGGAATTTTACGACCAATCGCTTACGATTACACAGAAGGAGGAGGAGGGAGTGCGGGCCCGCTGGGGTTCATAGTCCACGGCCATTAAAGCTGGGCCGCCTCGCACTTTCCCCCTGCATTCTGCAGCGTTTCCACGTCTCCTCCTGAGACTGCGAATAAAACTTGAACTTGCCTGATTATGAATGAAAGAAAAAATAAGAGGAGGGCAAAAGTGAATTAAAAAAATTGTGGATTTCCGTTTTTTTTTTTGCACCTTCGAGCGGTGAGATGCTTTTCTCAAATGAATGGAACCGGGCTTTTCCATAACAGCGTTAACCGCATCGCGCGGAACTCGGTACGGATCCCCCCCCCCCGCCACCACCATTCACTCTCACCCAGCCACCGCCAAATTAGGGTTACTGTTCAGGTAACTTGCAAGCAAAATATTATGCTAGAAAAACGAAATGCAGATGGGAAGCAGTCAAAGCAAACGAGGCGCTTTTTCTTCCGTGCTTTACATTTTTAGACACAACTCAAAAAAAGTCAATACGTTGACCTATATTAAGCAACTTATAGCTATACATATTAATGTATCTGCCCGCGCACGTGTGTGTGTGTGCGCGCGCAAATATATAAATTGTTGACCGCTCATGACAAAAAAA